CCCGCTGCCGCCTCCATTGCCGCGCGGGGGCGGGGTGGGGGACGCGCGGCGGGCTCCGGACAGCGGCCCCCGCGTGGGACGCGTGCGTTTCGGGCTTCGGGCCGTCCAGGGCTCCGGCCTTAGGCAGGTCGAGGCTGGGGCCATCGCGAGTGCGGGTCGGCTGCGATGGAGCGGGGGCGGGCGTGGGAGGCGGCGAACCGGAGCCCCCAAACACCTGAGCAACAACTCCCACACCCAGACCCCACCCTATCTTCTCGGGCACCTTCAGACCCTTCCCCAGGTCTGAGGGGGTCTAGGTGGTGGGAGGGGACTGGTATGAATGGAATTGGTGTTGCCTCCTGCTGGGAGACTCCGCCCGGAGTGGCCGCCGCCATCGCTGACGCCCACGGGCACGTCCCTTCCCGGGACCTTTTTCTGGTCTGCCGGATAAAGACGTGTTGGGGCGCGCGGGAGGCGCTGCTGCTGTATAAAGTGGGGACACTGGGCCGTTTTCAGGAGTAAAGGAGCCAATGTCTGGGTGCAGAGCAGAGGCCAGCCCTCCTGGGTGCCGGGCGTGACCAGGGCCGGAGGCAGGCGGAGCGTGCAGCGTAGAGGAGCAGTCGGGCCCGCAGCCTCGTGCGGCTTCGGCCCCTAAGGGTGCAGCGGCCGCCTTGCTGGTACGTCCTCATTCCGGTTCTAATGGCAGGTTTTCCCCAGGCCCGTATGGAACCAGGAAGAGTACAAATAACACAGGGATTGGTTCAGCTCAGGCTCTGGGCAGGCATTTTGGGAGCACCTTGAACAGTTCCCTGCTTGGGCCTCACCACTGTTCATTGACTTCTGGTTCCCAGTATTGGGGGGAAGGACCTCTGGGCCCCCCAGTGGGAGAGGTCTAAAGGGAGGTGGGTTCAGATTGGGAGTGGGCTGGGGCTTTGTCTTCCTCCTCCAGCCCAGGCCCACACCTGGAGGGCAGGGTGGGAGCACGGCGGCGTCTGGACGTTTGCCCCTGCAGAACTATTTATGCCGGGAGCAGGGGAGGCAGGACCAGTGGCTGAGGTGGGCTTGATCCTGGGTGCCTGTGTTAAATGGCAGGACTCCACTCCTCAGTTTTCCTGTAACTGCCCTCTCTACTTGCTAATGAACTTTGTGAACTCGTTGGAGTCCTCTGAAGGAAAACTCCTGTTTTGTGTTCCTGTGTTTTCACAGGCATCTTCTCTTTGTTGCAAAGGATAATGATTTTTCTTTTGGGTAGTGATATAAAGGGTCTTAACATTTTTTTTTTTGAATAAGTACATTTAAGTTTAAAAATGAGTTGATTTGGGCTGGCCCGTGGCTCACTTGGGAGAGTGAGGTGCTGATAACACCAGGGCCCCGGGTTCGGATCCCATATAGGGATGGCCGGTTGCTCACTGGGTGAGTGTGGTGCTGACAACACCAAGTCAAGGGTTAAGATCCCCTTACCGGTCATCTTTTTTAAAAAAAAAAGTGAGTTGATTTAAGGGAAAATATTAAAATGATTAAACCGGTAAAAATGAAGGAGATGGCCTATCAGTGACTAAGTTGGGGAAACTCTTCTGAGTCTCCACACTCAGTAGTTTTGGAAGAGCAGCGATGAGGGAAACCCAGGAGACAGGCCTCTGTCCTGATGCCTTGGGAGTGCAGGGCCTTTGTCAGAAATGGGACTTAGAGTGCAGCCTTATAACATGAAGGTCAAGGGTTCAGATCCTGTACTGGCCAGCTGCCAAAAAAAAAGGAGGGGAAAAAGGAACGGAAGAAGAAATGGGACTGTGGGGTGCGGGCAGGGGAGAGCCTGATGTCCCAGCACCAGGATGTTTTTATCCTGACCCTCACTGTAGCCTCTCCATCCCCAAATTTCTCCCTTTGAAACAGGGGCAGCAATTGCCTGGCTCTCTTCCCATTTTCCGCCGCTCTCTGTGCCCTTGCAATAATTAATTCATCTGGGCCTGCCTGCAACCCAAACTCCCTCCAGGCTCTTCTAGGCACGTGAGCTCTGCCTGTCACCCCAGGGTTCAGCTCCCAGTTCTTGAGGACAGTAGCTCTGGCCCCCACCCAGGAGGGAAGATGGAGCCCAGTGGGCACAGTCCTGCTTTCCCTCCACATCTCAGGCTGTAGGCCTTTCCTTCTTTGTTCTTTTTGCTTCACAGTGAAAATGCCCTTTTGTGTTGTGATTACTTGCCAGCCCTCCACCCACTTTGTTTTCCTGGAGATTTTCTCGGACAGTTCTTGGAGGTTGCTGTTTTTTCCATCCTTAACCTGTGATCCAGGGACCCAGAATTGGGGAGGTCCAGGAGCTGGGATGAGAAAAAAAATCCCATCTTTATTTTCACTAACCTCTAACTGAAACTTGGTTTGGTATGTCCTTCAATTATGAATGGAGGCAGCAAAATCCAGTAGAATTAGCTGTACCTGTGACTGTCATGACAGAAGTCACAGGAATTTTCACATATTGCACTATAGCTATTGCAGACACCTCAAAATCGCTGTTACACTCAAAGTAGTAACTTCATATTTCTGGTACTTATTATTCCTGCATCTAGATCTTATAACTTAATGAGTAAATAAAGAATCACAGGTATTTCTGTATCACAAATGTGTTTTTATATTTTGACATTTGCATTTCAATACCAGTGTTGTTGGATTTTTTTTGGTAATGCAGTGCATTTCAAAACATGATTCAAAGCAAGAGTCCTTTGTCTTCTGCAGGTGTGTCCCTGGCTCAGTAGAAGTTTGGAAGCCCTGCCTAAAGCCTCACCTCATTCCACTGCTAGCCGTTTTGTTAGATGTCTCCTTTCCTTATTCATTTATAACAAATGTTCTGTGTATCCACTGTGTGCCAAACACTTGAGTTACTAGCCATGTAGACACATGCATGCACTGACATCGGCCTGGTCACTGTTCTCCCAGAGTCCTGCCCACAGTCACCTCACTCACTGCTGAAAAGGTGAGGTCTATGGGGCTGAGAAAGCTTATAATGGGGGGAATTACTGTGTTTGGAAGGGCAGAGTCACTTGGAAGTGAGGTCAGCAGTAAGACCTCGGGAGAGGAGGAATGGCCTCACTTGGGCAGCCAAGATTGATCAGCATATGCAAATTCCCCCGCCCCCCACCACCAGGGGCCAGCGAGGGTAGAGCTCAGTGAGGGTACCTGGGGCAGACGAGGGCAGAGCAGAGCACACAGGACTTTGAACACCTTGGCAGGGATTTGGATTTTTACCCTGGGTGCTGTGCAGGTCTGAAGCAGGAAGAAGACTGGGGGCTGGGGTGGTTTTTGCATTTTGAAATGATCATTTGGGCAGGGGCGGAGGGGAACTGGAGAGAATAAGAGAGGAGGAAGGGAGACCAGTGAGGAGGGGCTGTTGTAAGTGAAGGTGTCCAGAATATACCATTGTGGCATAAAAGTTATTTTGAGCTGAAGGCATTTGAGAATAGGCTTTTTACATGAACTGCTTTATCTGCTTAAAAGCAGAGTCTCCAAAAGAACTCAGTTGTCATAAATCCCTTCCCTGGGAGCAAGCAGGGAAAGATTGACTCTTATCATCAGACCCAAACAGATATTGTCACAAAACTATCATATTATCTTTCCTAAAGTTCATTTGTTTTCCCATAAGTGCCCTTGCCCTCCTTCCCTTCTCCTATTAAGTTGTCATATGAGCCACCAAATTCTAATGGCTTTTAAATAAAAATTATCGGAGGCCATTGATTTGGACTAAGCTCCTGCACTACACCTCAACAGACCAGACTAAAAATCAAAATGGAGGGGCTGCCCATTAGCTCATTTGGTTGGTTTAGAGTGCCACGTTATAACACCAAGGTCAAGGGTTTGGATCCCCGTACAGGCCAGCCACCAAAAACAAAACAAAACAAAACAAAATCAAAATCGAGTCAACCCAGCTGAAGTTCCACATCACCAAATTCAAACTAAATTGTCTCGCAATTTGAGAAATCAGGAGAGAGAGAACAGCCAATTTCCCAAACAGGCCAGTTTAAATCTTCAGTGATAATTGAAGGAATGATAATGAAGTTCCCTCTGCTTTAATACTCACACAAAAAGGCTAGTCTGAAGTAATCTGACGTTAACTCATCATTATTTTTCTATTCTTCTGTCTCCCTCTCCCCATTTTACATGGAAAGTAGCTTTGAAATGACGAATCCACTTTTTGTTCATTTTATTTCTGCTTTCTTCAGGCCTTTTTCTGTCTATAAAGTCAATCTCTTTTGCTCAGTTCAATGGAACAGTTATTATATTTTATGGAATGAAGTGTTGCCTGATTCTAGAATCACAATAAAGCTAACTGAGGTCTTTAAACTAAATTTGTTGTGATTTTGTCCTTTGATACAGCCTAATATGTGAATAAAACTCTGTCTTTTCTAGGGCTGGCCCATGGTTCACTTGGGAGAGCGTGGTGCTGATAGCACCAAGGCCACGGGGTTAAGATCCCCTTACCAGTCATCTTTTTTTTTTTTTTTCCTTTTTGTCTTTTTTCGTGACCGGCAACGGATCGCAACCCTCAGTGTCGCGCCTGTACCGGGACCGGCAACGGGATCGCAACCCTCGGTGTCGCACCCGCACCTTGCTCAGCCAGTGAGCGGCCGGTCTGTATGTGGGATCCGAACCCTCGGCGGGAGCGCCGCCGCGCTCCCAAGCGGTGCACTGTAGCAGTGCGCCACCGGGCCGGCCCTTACCAGTCATCTTAAAAAAAAAAAATCTGTCTTTTCTCTTGCTAATCTGTCTTTTGTCATTTTAATTCACAGGCCCCCACAAACCTAATACAGAAGAAAAGTTTTCCTCCCTGACATCAGCATCTAGGAGAAAGGTCTGGAATGGGGCGGGTGGGGAGGTTGGAGACAAAGAGAAGTAGATGGATTCAGGTTACAAGAATAAAACTATCTGAATGTTGCAAGCTTCCCTGGCAAAGGCATTGAGAAATAAATAAATGCTGTGCATGTAGGTGCTACATAGCTCTTCTGTCCGAGGTCTTTGTGTTACAGAATTAGGCTCTTAGGGCTGGCCCGTGGCTCACTCGGGAGAGTGCGGTGCTGATAACACCAAGGCCCTGGGTTCGGATCCCATCTAGGGATGGCCGGTTAGCTCACTGGGTGAGCGTGGTGCTGACAACACCAAGTCAAGGGTTAAGATCCCCTTACCGGTCATCTTTAAAAAAAAAAAAAAAAAAAGGCTCTTAGGTCCCAAAGTCATAGAAATGAACAAGGCACCCAGCAATAAAGCAAGCAACACTTTATTAATAGAGGAGATACACTTGTGCATAAGAGGGGTGGCTACAGAGAAGCTAGCCCCTAAGGGGAGCTGTTTAGGGTCCCTTACAGGGGAAGGGTTAAGGGGTGCACCCTTTTCTGCTGGGTGTGTTGTTCATTTCTATGACTTTGGGACACAAGAGCCTAATTTGGTAACATTTGGTCAGAACTAATCACGTGGCCTCACCTCAAGAGAGTGGGTGAGTTTATACATATAAAATATTCAGAATGTTGGGCCGGCCCGGTGGCGCACTGGATAAGTGCACCGCTTGGGAAGTGCGGCGGCGCTCCCACCCGAGGGTTCGGATCCCACATGCAGACCAGTTCCCGCTCACTGGCTGAGCGAGGCGCGGGAGCAACACCGAGGGTTGCGATCCCGTTGCCGGTCCCCGGTCCGGTACGGGGGCAACACTGAG